CGGCCCGGGGGGTGGTACTGGGATACCGGATCGCTCCAGCGGGAGGCGTTCAAGAGAGCACCCAGGTCCCGTTGAACCTGGAGGAGGAGGAGGAGGAGGAAGAGTTGATTTGGAGGAGCAGGAATCGCCTGCGAGCTCTCATTCGTCTGGAGCACAACTACAGCCGTCCAGTGTAGACTCAACAGACAGGCCTCAAACCTCCACCCCACTTACCGAACCATCTCCTTCCTCTGTGTCTTCAAACCCATCTCTACCACCATCAGAGTCTCCGAAAACACTCACGCTATCGCCACCTGCAACTGACAGCCCTGCTTCCCAGGATCAGGTGGAGGAGATTTGTGGAGTGGAAGAGGTGACTGCCTGCCCAAGTGATAACGCCTCAGAGCAGACCTTAGACACCCCAGTGCCTACGCCAAGTGAACCAGAGTCTTTTTTCAGTCATCAAGAGGGGAGAGGTGAGGAGGCAGAGTCCAGTGAGAGCAGAACAACTACCCCTGTTTGCACCTCAGCATCTAATGATGCCATTTCTTTAGTGCCCACCTCTATACCAGACTCGCTGCCAAGATTTGGTGCCCAGGGTGTGGATGTCATTAGGACCTTGGCAGCAGCTTCTCAATCCTGGGAAGGTGAAAAGAATGGTGGTGAGCATCACCCAGGGACAACTGGAGTTATCCAGCATGGCTCAGACTTGAAAATGCCCAAAGAGACACTTGTTACAGCCCGAAATGGATGGGTAGAAAGTAGTGAAGAGCATTCCATGAGAGAGGAGATGCTACAAGAGCATAGGAATGGAGGAAGTGATGCTGATGGCAAATATGAATCAGCCTCTCTGCATTGTCTACCAAGTAATGCTGGCGAGGAAGACACTGGAGCACACAGTGATTCTACGGAGACAGCATCTGACTTTGAAAATGAAACTCAAGAGGATGAAACACTGGACTGGCATGGAACCCAAATGGATAGTAACGGCATGCAAGCTCAGAATACAAAGTCGCGGAATCAACCTGTCATTCAGACCTCAAGTCGACTCACTTCAATGTTGAATCCTCCTCAGCACCAGCAACCAGTCATACAAGCCCATATATCTAACCCCAACCATACTCAAACTGTCATTCAGGCTCGCTTCCCTAATGGTGTGCCAAACCAGCCCATCATTCATACCCACAAGCAGCATCCAATTCATAGCCATGCTATAAACCATGCTCAGAACCAGATTGCCACTGCGCCCTCACAAGCCCAAGTGCAAGCTTACCTGACACAGGCAGAGAGGGACCAAAGTAGAAATCTACGACTGAATGATAATGGCAATGGAGTGAAGCTGTTTGTCTCAACAGAGGATGACACCAAACCTCTCGGCAGAGGTCCTGGAGGAGATTTTGCTTTAAAGAATTCTGCAGTTCCTCCCATTGGCAGAAGAGTCCAAGGTTCATCTCGACCAGTTTCCTCTGTAGAGGCCAACAACCCTCTTGTCACCCAACTTCTTCAAGGCAGCCTACCCTTAGAGAAGGTCTTACCCCAGCCTCACTCAGTCAGCAAGCTGGAAATTAATCAACTTCCAGGTGCCCCTGCCGGTAACTCGACCAGTCGCCAACCTCCAAGAAATCTGGGACCCCGTTTTAGAGGCCCGTCTGAGTCAGGAGGACCTATAGAAACTGGTGGATCTGACTTCCAGCACAAAGCCCCATCCGCCCGAGTGTCTCCAGGACCTGGTCGGAACTTTGGTTCTTCACCACCGGGTTCTACTCCATCTCGAATGGCATGCTTGTTTGAGGAAGCTAGCCCAAGATCCGCAAATGTTCAGTTCACTTCTCAACAACCCGGAGGTGCAGTGCCCCCTGGAGCAGTACCTGTCATAACATCCCTCCCTTCAAACTCCTCTGCTAGAATCTCAATGGATGTGAACTCTCAGAATGCTCCAGTTTATGAATCGGCTGTCATTAAAGAGCACCCTGGACCTCTTCCTCCAAGGGGTGAAACTCCGGAGAGGACAGCTGGCTTTCAACAGTATCCTAACAATCTCTCCCAGTCTGTGTGCAGAACCACACCTGATGCTCCCTCACCTCCACATGGTGACCTTTGTCCATCAGAGGTTGTTCCTACTGTTAAGATTAACTGGCGCCCGAGCAAACCCCAACCACCTCAGCATCAGACATATCAGCAACAGCTTTCTCCTGTAGCTACAGTAAAGAATGAAGTCTCCTCACGCCCTTCGTGCCAACAAGCTCTGACCAAAAACTCAGCTGCTCCAAACAGTGGCAATACTTCTATTGTAATATCCAAAAAGGAGCCTCTGGACAATTTTCATGGAGGTGGTGGAGCTATGGAAGGACTGCTAAATATGGAAATGTCTCTTGTTAGAATGGCCAAGAAGGAACAAGTCAAAAATCCATATGCCCGCCAAGCAGACACCTCCACTTCTCCTGTCTCCTCCTCCCTTTCCTCATCGGCCTCCAGTCTCCCTTACCAGCTATATGGCAAGCTACCAAAACTACAACAGAGCGGGGGCAACGGAGGGTCCTCATCCAGCTTCAGTTACACAGCTAATGTGTCCGTGGTGGACGGAAACGGGTTCTCCCGCAGTTTAGCCGATGGTGTGCTGCAGCTAAGGCCACGTGTGAGCGTCAACAACAGTGGAGGCCAGAATGCTACACTTAGCATTCAGGCATTCGCGGACAGCGCTGCAGAAGAAGTGGCTCTCAAGTGTTCCTGCCGACTTAAGGCTATGATCATGTGCCAGGGCTGTGGTGCTTTCTGCCATGACGATTGCATTGGCCCCTCAAAACTGTGTGTGTCATGTCTGGTTGTCAGATAGTTTGTTGCAGCTCCTCCAAACTGAGCCGGTTGGTCAGAGCAAATGCTTTGACCTCTCCAGAAAATTCTAGCCCTTTGCCTGTGGTTGGATACCACTGGAAGTCTTGGACTCTTTTGAACAAAGAATGAGGCAGGACACTGCATTGTTCAAATGGGACCCGGGTTTTTTTTTTTTTTTTTCCTTCC